AGAGAGAGAGAGAGAGAGAGAGAGAGAGAGAGAGAGAGAGAGAGAGAGAGAGAGAGAGAGAGAGAGAGAGAGAGCACCCACGCAAGCACGCGCGCGCGCACACACACACACACGCACACACACACACACACACACACACACACACACACACACGCACACACCTGTCAACTTTCGAACCGTGCCTCAAGTTGGGTGCCTGTAAATTGAATCCATTTCTCTGTCTAAGATCACTTCATGTTTATCATTCCGTTCATAAACAGCAAAAGAAGCCTTCCTTCCTACTTATATTTATACACCCAATTCTTCTCATGACGTTTAACTCTTATGTTTGGCAAAGCTGCTTCTAACGCAAAAAGAAAAGGCGTTCCGTATACTTTGTGGTGCGCTTGCCGTGAGATGAGAGGCCGAAGGAAAGAAAATCAAATAAAAGAAAAGAAAAGTTAGAAAACACTCTTGTGAGCTCGGCTCGCCAGCAGAGCAGAGTGGGCCTAAGTGGATTTCAAGTTTGAACTACTGACTTTACACTTATCAGGCGTATACTATAACCAACTGATCAACCCTGTACTACAAAACCCCGTATTGGCTATACATCCTCCTTGTATTTATGCAGGATACGTTGCCAGTACTATTGGTTTTTGTTTATGTGTATCCAGAACTTGACCAAAAAAAAAAAAAAAAAACACCACGTGTGAAATCAATGAAAGGCATTAAAAGCGCTTTTCCACTTATTCACATGGCTTCAGACCGGGACATAGTGGTCACACGGCTCTTAATGTTATAATGGGTACCTTTCATGGAGTGCAATGGTGGGTCACTGTGAAGGACCAACCCCCTTGGTCAACCCCCAACCATGTCTACGAGGCGCAGTTGAACAGGTTCGTGAATGTGAGGTGCGGGTAGGATCAGGAACTAGACCCATTCGGTCAGGAAAGACAGCGTTTTCCTATGTATTACTCGAAATCATGGCTTTTCTGTTGAGTTTTCCTGTTTTGCAATTGCTATATCATTTTCAATATTCAACAGTCGATTGTTTGACTATAGTAGTAGGAACTTTCATTCTTGTTCGACTCTTGGCTTGAGAGCTACAGACTCTCGAAAAACTAGTTTCTTCTTTTTTACCACATTGCCTACTTGATCAGTATTACCTTTAATTCTTTTTTGTACTTCATATCAAACTGAGGACGATGTTATGACTTTGTTCATGGGATATTTGGAGGCAACCAACTGATCTTTGGATTGTGTCCCCGCAACTCAATCGCCATTTTTCTTGTGGTTTCTTCTGCGAGAAACAAAACCAGTAGATCCGAAGACTACAACCAGCAAACTAAATCACTTTTCAATCTCTCTACACAAACCGCAATGCGCACACATATTTACATGCAATGAATTGCACTGGCATGTGGGCTGTACACTATGTTGCCTGGTTTTGAGCTCTCTGGGAATCGATCCCATGAGCTGTTTTGTTTGCTGTGTTTTTTTTCTGTGTGAGAGCCCAACTCGGCTTGATCCCAAGGTCTGTCTGGAGTAGTCTTTAATAGGCTAGCTGCAATACCACTAGGTCTCCCTGCTTTGTCCTTTCTGCCCTTGAGTTGGAGGTCGTTTCTGTCCTCCCCTTTTTGCCAATTTTAGGTCTAGATTCGGTCCTAGGCTATAGGCGGCCATTCCTAGGCTGAAGGCTGTCGAGTAGGGAAACAGCAGTCTACAAATGTGTCGAGGGCAAGGAAAAACAGGTTATGTCTCGTCATTTTTTTCCCACGAAGTGTTGCTGGAGGCCGCGTGCTGTTTGGGTGCTGCGTTATTTCACTTGCGGCATCTTCATGTGCTACCTTCTTCCCCCGGAACACACTTGGGCATCCGGCTCCAGATATTTCACTTGGGTGCATCATCTTCATGCTGCTACCTTCTTCCCCCCGAATACAACGTACGGTCATTATAGCTGTATTTGAGGCATCTTTCAGTCTCGATACAGCTTTAATGACCGTACGTTGTATTCAGGGGAAGAAGGTAGGGCTGTAGGGTTGTCCTCCATAGCTGGGGCTTCCTGGCTCGTGTTGTGACTGCGCTGGGCATCCGGCCCTGAGCGCTGTGAGGCGCCCCCTCTTATCTGTGCCGTTGGGGATAGGCAGGGTCGCCATCGAAACCCTTCTTGCAAGCGTTTGTCGAAGTGGCAGCCATCTCCTTCTTCATCAAGCGCTGGTGCTCTTCTTCTTCGTCCTGGGAGCTACCCTGCCCTGTTGAGCGAACACTTCATCTGCAGTGGGCATCGAGTTTGGACTGCTGAGTGGCGTGTCGGCTTCAGGAGGGTTGCTGGCGCTTGATGGGCGTGATAGGTTGGGTGAGGGCCTGTGCCATAGCTGTGAGCGTGAGGTTGTGAGGAAGAAGAAGTCTCCCTTACATGTTGAAACTCTCTTTTTAGTTGGTTCGTGGATGTTAATAACGTGGTTGGGATTTTTGGAAATAACAGTGCATTGATTGGCTGGAGGGAGCGGGATATTAACGAGAATTGAGTAATTTGAACTAATTTCAATTCTATTTCTGGTTTAAGTGCTTCCACTGTGTATTCTCTCATCTGGTGTGGTGTGAATTGCTCTCTCCAAGATCTCTTGTCATTGCGCATGCGTATGGGAACATGTGGATGCCATGCTGTATCTCGTTTCAATCAGGCACATAACATACATACACACTCTCTTGCTTCATACACACCCTCTTGCTTCCGACTCCTCAGTTGCATGTCCCTCGCACAAAGAACAGCACAGCTGCTGACAATACCAGGTATATTCTCGTTCCCGCATTTCAATCCTACATTCAATAGTCTTTTCTCCGAACACTACTTATTCTCCACACTGCCCGTCAACTCCCCACCCATTTCATCATGCCGCAGGCATAGATGCAGGGAACAACAATCTTGTTGTAGCTTAAGTTTGTTGTTTACAGAACTTTTGAGTTGAAAGGCATCCAAGGAAAACCGATGAAATTTTTAGTTTGTTGTTTACAGAAATTTTGAGTTTGTTGTTTACAGAAATTTTGAGTTTGTTGTTTACAGAAATTTAAGTTTGTTGTTTACAGATATTTTGAGTTTGTTGTTTACAGAAATTTTGAGTGCTCTCTGTTGCTTAACGATCATCACTCACCTCTCTGATGAGGAGACAATTCACCCATCTGAAGGCAAATTGCAGGTACTCCAGCCCTTGTTCGTCAAGCTGCTTCGCTACAGGCTCTTTGGTGGCACGAGGTCAAACAACATAGAACGCAGAACACAAGTCAGTGATATCCATTCACTAAAGCTCCCACAGGCTCATCAGCAGAGTTCGTCCGTCCAAGAAATCACAGGAGACAATTCTTTCGCAAGCTCGTTCCAACTCCCTGGCCAGAACCCTTCACATATAAGAGCATGGCGCAGAAGGAAGGCAGCAGCAGTCAGAACAGAGAGTGCACTGCAGACATCACAATCGCACGGAAATATGATGAAACCATATTAGAAAAGATGTCATGAAAGCCTTGACAAGCAGCATAGCAGAAATGAGTACCTTTCAGAAAAAAAGGGAAAAAAAAAAAAGAAGAAGAAAGGAGTACCGCGCGTTGGATCAGGGATTGCCAAGCAGATTTCAGAGAACGAAACGATTTCAGCAAGATGGCATCATTGGAAACCACAGATTTCAGAAAACAAAACGAATTTCAGCAAGATGGCATCATTGAAAACCACAGACGGGAACACTTGAAGGAGCTCTCGTTATGCCCAGCTTCCTAAGCGAAAAGGCACAACAACCAGAACTAAATCATTTCCCCTTTTCCTACCCTTCATGTTACATGCTGAGAGCCTCCACACGGGCCCCTCACGGGACCCGAGGTTGGATAAGGGCCCCCAGGTCGCGTCACCGCAACCTGGAGGCCCTACG